TTAGCTGATTGGCCCTCTCACACAGAGAGCACCAATCAAAATCCTGGATTCGTGACGCGTTTTTATCGTATAAAGAGTTCAGGCCCTCGCGAGTGGGAGAGTCGATCACGGGGAGGGACTGAATTATTCGGGTTAAATAATGATGCATACATTTCTTTCATTAGTTTTTAAGTGATTTGTTGCCATAAATTTAAACTACCAAAAAACAAAAAAAGTATGGTTGATGTCCGACATATTTGTTTTTCGTTCATTGTTTTATCATATATCAGGCAGTTGGAGATCTTGTTTGAATTGTTTCACATTTTGTCATGTTGGGGCCTTTTATAGCTTACTAAACAGTCTAGATTTTACTCATTGTTAAAAGCTGTAATGTGACCTTTAGCTGCGTATGTATCCACATCATTTGGTCTCATTTGCAATTATACCACATCTCTTAATTTTTATATATGGGAATATTTAAGATAACAAAAAACATAATATTTTCCTAAATTATAGTTTTTTACTTCTTTATTTACCTTCTTCCAGATCATATATACAATTATAACTTAAGAAACATTAAAATGTAAGATATACATTTGTGCATAATAAAAATCTATCCCATTTATATGCTCTTGGATGAATAGGTCATAAATCTATGTATTGGTTCTTACCATAAATTTCAGCTCCAATGACCATTCCCAGCCTCAATCCTTACAGACAAGCTGTGAAGCTAACCTGAAATATAAAATGCTTAGTTTTCAAAATTGTTTAAAAGGATCACTGTTGGTATATTGTGTTGGTATACTGTATCTATATTATACATAAATGGGTTATATTTATGTGTTACAGATGTTGAGAACATATCAATTAGACAGCAATCCAACAACCGAACAAACTTTACATAATCACTTTAGATGGGCACAGGACATTTGCGCTTTTTTACCTGTAACACGATAGGACATTTGCGCTCCAAACACTATGGACATTTGCGCTTTAAATTTTGATACACCTGTATTAAATTGACCGGACATTTTCGCTTTTTACCTATAGACGCCTACCTGTGATTTAATGAATTGTAATAATTACATAAATAAATTCAACTTATATATGTGCTTAGATACTTCACATTGACATAGTCTTGAACATAGAGTTTAAAGTTATAGACTAGTAAAGGAAATTTTTGTTTTATGTCACGATGGATTTTTATCATTGAATAACAGTCAGTTAATTACAATAAAATTTGTGATATTGATGAACAGGGAGCTCATTTAAATAGCTGAGAAAGAGAAACTAGAATATTTATTTGAAATGTGGGCGAAATACCAGGAGGACAGATTACAAGAGCTAAATTTGTTCATTCCCTGAGCTTCAGATATCAAGCGAAAAATGACTTGTGATGACTATACACGTCTTTATGTCTTTAGAAGGTTAACTTTTAGCTATAGATAACAATATTTTTGTGTTATAAAGTAACTTTTAAACACGATTGTGCTAGGAATTAATGACTATCAAACTTTTAACAATAATGACATTTATGACTTTAACTTTGCCAGGTCAAACCTACCGGTCCTAAGCCCGGATTAAATAGGATGGAATTCATAAGAAGCAAATATTGTAAAAGCGCAAATGTCCTATGTAAAAAGCGCAAATGTCCTATGTAAAAAGCGCAAACGACCTTTTTTAAAAAGCGCAAATGTCCTATAAATTGAAGTGCAAATGTCCATTAAAAAAGCGCAAATGTCCTATGAAAAAGCGCAAACGTCCCGCGCCGGTTCAGATCCTTATTAAATCTTCTCATATAATAATACCGCTAAACAAAAATAGTAGATTTCTGACCAAACTAGTATAAACTTTCAAGCCTAGAGCAAATAATATTAAAATTTCTCTATTATTAACCAATGACATAAAACACATTATAAACTTTCCAGTTAATACAATTCTATGTGTTTTAGAACTGGTCGTTAATACAGGTCTGATACAGAAAAACCAGTTCATACAGAATTTTTACTGGTCTTAATACAGGATTTTAACTTACGGTTTTTGGTTCAAAAAGGTGTCAGAAAATGGATGTGTGTATTACTTGAAATATTAGATTTCAACAAATTTGATGTTAAAGTTATTTTTCATATGATATAATTTTTTCTTTTAGCACCGGTATATATGAATTAAAGACCGTTGAAAGGGTGAATAGCCAGAATTGTCAACCGTAAAAGACTATTTCTCTGCGGGTGCAGTAGGGTTGACAATCTTGGATATGCACCGCTTGGAAGGGGCAACATTTGTTTAATTATACCAAACTAACAATAGATGGGCCTTTCATGAACTATTTAAAGTGCATGTTTAAGAAGCTCTTCTACGCGTATTAATATTTTGACCACCTTAATGGGGTTAACCCAGTATACTGTAGTACCGTAACAAAATGTCAAAACACTAATCAGAGAATCATTTTGTGTCTTAAAATGCCTCATATATACAACAAAAGAAGACTCTTTCTGTAAAATAATGATGGCCCTGAAAAGGGTCGTTTGTGAATGCTATCCTCGGCACCAGATAGATTTCACATACTTTTTTCTTCATCTCACCACGTACTTCTAACCTAGCCATTTCCATTTTGTTTACAAACGTCAATGACATCATTTTGATAGGAGATAGCTTGTGTTAAAATCGAGGCTCAGAGTTATTTACTGATGAATGTATATAAATTTTTAGGGCTATTCAACTCTCCTTGCATTTAAAAGAAAAAACCCAATTAGTTTATATTGTTCATGTAGGAGTTTTTCTATCGTCGAATTTGTCCTTGATCAGCTTCTGGTGGCTATTCCAAGTCATTGGTAAATAAGGTGTCATAAAATGGGTGTTTTCATATTAATCCTGTATAATGTCCTTGTACAGTCGTTTTGGGTCTCATCAGCTGTATTGACCCTCAGCTACACCTCGAGCCAATACAGCTAACCTCGACCCAATACGACTACTTGAACATAATATATGATTAATATGAAAACAACCATTCAATAACACTATATTATACATTTGTTACTTTTTTAACATGGAATAACATACTGGTACTGGTACCTACCTACATATTAGCTGTATTAGACCACCAAATCTTATTCCCACATCATGAAAACATGTCACAGAAAGAACCTAAAATGAAATAAAAATTGACACATTACATAATTTTACAAATCAATTCTGTCAACCTAAAATTTACTTAATTCTTTTCTGATTTCTAACTACATTTACACAATAATATAGCATCAACACCAGTTTGTAAAATTAATTTTAAAGATGGAAAAACAGTCAAAGTTTTAGGATTTAAATTTCAACTGTGCAAAATCTGCATATTTAACAAAAAAGTTATCTCCCATTAAATAAGAAAATCTTGATGCTAAGTGTACTAGTCTCCCCTTGAAGTTAAATTTTCTATTGCTATTCTAATAGAAAATCTTGTTCATGCACCTGGCAAATTGAAAATATTACACTGGTAAGTTGTCAATGGTGTTTTGCAAGCAGAAAATCAGGATGCAGTTCGTCTTGATATGCTCTTTTTTATCAAATATTTCTAGAGAATGTATAGAAATTGTTTGGCTCAAATAAACTTGCCTTCTTATTTTCTAGGTAGAGCCTCAGACTTGGCTGAAGATTTATTTAACCATCTTCCATGGAGCTGCTCTCCTGGCTGGCAAGGTGGCTGTCCTCATATTATGGTCAATCTATTTTTTTTCTGCATTTCTTTTTAAAAGTTATATATATAAAAAATATCAGATGCACTTTCAACTAATACCGGTAACCTTTTTCAAAAATTTCACCAAATCATTTTTTATGACCCATGAGTTTCCCCACCCTACATATCTATTATCTAGAGCTCTGTTTACATCTTTTTTTTTTATTACAGAGCTCTAAATAATAGTCAATATTAGGTAGTATACATCTGATATTGAAAAAAGTTATACAAAAGTGAATATTCAAGAAAATAAAAAGCCAACACTGAGGGAATTTCAAGTATGTGGAGTTTAACAGGGGTTATAATAAATTACCTCCCTCTGATCCAAATTTCACCCTGTTAGGACTCCACATCCTTGCTGTATTTAACAAAAATACAAAAAACAGTATAATGAAAATTAAAAAATAATTTAATACCAAAAATCCAACACTATTCAAATAAATATTAAGTACATTTTTTACTAAAATTTCACCTAGGACCTTGGTGGCAGAGTGGTCCAAGTAGTTCTACTCAATCACTAGCCTGTCAACACTGAGGTTGTGAATTCAAACCCTGCATGTTGTATGGGCATTTAATCAATCTTAATTGACCAAGATTGCTTGTTTTCTTGCCAAAAGTCTGTGGTTCTCTCAAGGCACTCCAGTTTCAGCCATTAATAACTGGCTGCCAAGATATAGCCAATCGTGCTAAAAGTGATGTTAAACACCAAAAATCAATCATCAATCTATATTTAACAACTTAGTTTAATTCAGATGAAAATAACAAAAAGGTTCAAAAAATATATATCTAACAATTCGGAAACCCAAAAATTACATTGCATAAATTTTTTTTTTTTTTCTTTTTTTTTCTTTTTAGATTCTCTATTCTTAACCTACTGAAGTTATTTGACTCATGGACCTCATATACTGGTATCTAAAGTAGATCTTCAAGTAAAATTGGTCCATTTCACTTCATTTTCAAAGTAAGAATTAAATCTTGACAGATGGGGGAAAAAAATGAATACGATATGAACTTTAATTTCATTATTACAAAACTAGCATACCAAAAACTAGTTCAATATCAATATAAGCTTATAAGCATAACAAAAAAAAATGTCAAGGCAATAATGGACATGTGTAGAAATACCAGAATACAGCCATGGGTTTTAATGAAAAAAAGAATAAGAAATTTTGAAATTTCAAATACAAGTTAAGCTAGAACTTCCAATACTGTTGAAAATGGAGAACCTTTACACATTTTTTTTTTGGTAAAAAATTATAAACATTTCCTCAAATATACACAAAAATTGTGTGAATTACATTCTCTGCAGTTATACCACACAAACATTTTATGCAGCCACAGAAAAAAGTCCCCTGAAAAAGAAATAGTCGTTCTTAAATATATTTGTTAAAAAATTGAAACAATATTCAATGCAAAAGAATAATTAACTGGGGATCATACATATAACATTTCTTTTACTTTGTTTAAAAGTGTTGGAATCAATTTAAAACTACCATTCTTTATCAGAAAAAAAGTATGAAAAACAAGTTGTTTTTTTTTATGTTTGACATATTTGTTTTTCATTTGATTTATCATATATCAGGCAGTTGGTTTTCTTGTTTGAATTGTTTCACATTTTGTCATGTTAGGGCTTTTTATAGCTTACTCTACAGTATACTTTTTGCTCATTGATGAAGACAGTACAGTGACCTTAGTTGTTTACATCACATCATTTGGTCTCTGGTTGATAGTTGTCTCATTGGCACATGGCAATCATACCACATCACCTTATTTTTATATATGATAATAATTTTAGAAAACCAAAAAGACAGTGGTGACAAGATTTCCTCATAACAATTTTTGACTTGCATAATTTATCTTGATTCCTCCTTTGAGATTATATATACAGTTATAAACATTAAAATGTATGATCTACATCTGTGCATAATAAAAATCTAGGGTATTTATATACTCATGGATGACTAGTTCATTAATCTCTCTATTAGTTCTTACCATAAAAGTCAGCTCCAATGGCCATTCTCAGCCTCAATCCTTACGGACAAGCTGTGATGCTAACCTGAAATATTAAACATTTATTAAAAATTGTTTAAAAGGATCATTGTTGGTAAAAGGTATGTATATTTAATAGAAATAGTCTATAAACTTGCAAAAGATGTTGAGAACCTATGGATTAGATCGCTATCCAGCAACCCAGCAAACTTTTACATAATTTTATCAGATTAAATTTACTTATATAATGGTACTGATAAATGAAAGAGTAGACTTCTGACCAATTTCTTATAAGACTTCAAGCCTAAGAGTTAATTTCCAAAGAAATTTTATAATACATTTTTTTTAAACAGGAATAACATACTGGTACCTACCTACATGTTAGCTGTATAAGACCACCAAGTCTTATTCCCACACCATGAAAATATGTCACAGAAATAACCTAAAAAGAAATTAAAATTGACATTACATATTTTTCAAATTCATTTTTCTGGCAACAATTGAACCTAACATTTTCTATATATTGTACACAGTAGTATAAACTTAACACCAGTTTGTAAAATGAATATAAAAGATGGAAAACAAAAAATAAGTCAAAGTTTTATGATTTGAATTTCAACTGCACAAAAATCATCTGCATATTTTACAGAGTTATCTCCCATTGAATAAACAAATGTTGCTGTTAAATGAACTAGTATCCTCTTGAAATTTTAATTCCTATTTCTGGACTTACTTTTGCTTTCTTGTTCATGTACTTGGCAACTTTAAGTATTAAACTGATAAAATAATTTTGTCAATGGTGTTGTCTTACTATTCACTTTTTATGAAATATTTCTACAGAATGTATACAAAATGTTTGGCTTAATTAAACTTGCCTTATTTTTTTCGTGGTAAAGCCTCAGACTTTGTTGAAGATTCAATTGACCACCTTCCTTGGAGCTGCTATCCTGGCTGCTTTGAAATGTTTTTCATCATAGATTTGTATGCTAATCAGTTCACTGAATCCATTTATCCAATTAATGAAATGTTCTTTCCATTGTATCCAATCAAATATACAATTTTCACAAGATTGTTCCAAAGCATCTCACAACATATTCTTTTTCTATTCATGGCTACTGGAGTAATTCTCGATGTAAAATACAAGTAATTTATTAAATTAATACATAAAAAACTGTAAAAATACCGGATGTGCTTTTAAACAGGTAACTTGTATTTTGAAAATTTACCAAATGTTTTTGGTACCCCACAATTTCTTCTTCCCATTAAAAGTATTATTTAGAACTATGTTTATATTTTTTTTTATTTACAGAGCTCTAAATAACAGCTTTTATATTAGTTAGCAGACATCTGATATGTAAATACTTTAAACAAATGTATTAAAAAAAGACAGTACAATGAAAAAAATGTAATAAAAAATTACAGTATAGTAATTGACTAACACCATTTTTTTAAATATTTTGAAGCATAGTTTAATAGAATACCTTCTTTTAAGGTTTACTCATCATGCACATAGTAGTCATGTATATTCCAAAAAATTATCAAAGCCTCAAATAGCTGAGTTGTGCAAATTTTTCCTAAACAATAGAGAATGGTCTTTAATGAAATTTAAATATATGGAAATATAAAATGTAAAAATGGGGGCTAATGCTCAACCTCAATCGATTTGCAGACTCTCTGAAGTTCCAAAGATATGGGTAAAAAACAAAAATTGGTACCATCATTTTAGTTGAAAAAGAGTTTCCAAGAAAAACGGGGGAAAAAATTATCGAAAAATTCCATAGTACCTAGTGCACAACTTAAATATTCGTGCAATCATTGTGTGAAGTTTCAAAGATCTAGATTTAAAACTGCAGGAGTTGATTACACAAAATTGTTGCCGTCTTTGTGAATTTTGGTAAAAATTTTCACAAATTTGGAAAAATGGGGGAAAATTCCTCAAGCAATTCCATACTAGCAGGTACACAACTTCAACATGTGTGCAATCTTTCTGTGAAGTTAAGTGGTACAAAAAACACTGAAATAAAAACATACAAAAATGATGCAAAATGGTACTACCAGTATGTAGTATGAAATCTTTAAATTTAGTAAGAAAAATTGTAAACCCAAAGAAATGATATAAATACTGATTCTTTATAATAAAAAATAGTTGTCAAAATTCAAATAACATGTGATACTTTAATAATTTTGTTTTTGAAACTATAATACTTGAAGAAAAATAGTTCCAAAATTTCCAATTCAAAAAGTAATTTTTTTTCCCCAAATTAAGTTTGATAGCATATTGGTTTGTGGTATCAAAATTTGTTTTTCATTAAGACTGTTTCAAATGATTTCTTTTGGAAAAGAAAGAAAATCACTGATATCTTGACATTAATAGAGATGGACTGACATGATGTAACTCTCTGTAACCACTGGTTCCTTTACTGGATAACACTTTTTTTTACAGTCAAAAGAGAACCAGCTGCAGTCAATATACAGACTTACAAGAAACAGCTCTTTTTGGCTATTGGGAGAGGAAACAAAACCAAAGTAAAAACTAAAATAGGTTTTCTTTAACATCATTAAATGATAAAAAAAAGCTATTATTGAAACCCCCATAGTCTGGAACAAGGTCCGATTTTAATTTAAACTGCTTGGTTAATACAATTGATTGTATGCAATTCTTGAAAATTGTTGGGAGTCTTGGATAGGATCCCTGTTTAATGAAAGCAATTCAAGGACTACTATGAACTAATGGGAAACTACTTTGAACTAATGAGGTTAAATCAGGATCCCCATTAAAAGTAAAGCACTCAGATTCATGTTGGATTGACCAGGAAACATTTTTTTGAAATATAGTTTCAAAAAGGATCAAAGTCCAAAGTTTACAAATCTTGTCTACAAATCATGATGAGCAATTGTTAAATGTGATGAAAAAAGTCAAATTAAAACAAGTTGTCAATTAATTATGTTCCGATAATTTTAAACGAAATAGTTACTATAAATTTTTAAATAGAATAAAATTACAATGATTTTACTAAAATCTGATGCCAGATGGACAAAGACATAAAAAAAATTAGCCTGTTCCCAAAAATCGTTTTTTAGAAAATTGAATTTGATAATAGTATCAAAATTGAAGCAAGTCATCTCCCTTACTACATAGTACTGGTTTACAGCTGTGTAAAGAAATAAATAAAAAAAATTGAAACATTTGTATCTTGATGATGAAATTTGATTACAAGTATGTTGTTAGAAAAAAGAGAGTAATGTGGATTCATTATTATTCCCGGGTTACTAATTTTTTGTGGATTCAGGTGAACCACAAATTTAAGTTTTTGACAAAATAAATTTCTAAAGGCTGTGAATTGAGATTTGGTCAAAATCATGAATTCAGCTAATTAAAGTAATCATCTTATGTATGAATGAAAGCCTAGTGTTTGAGGTGAAGGTTAAAAATTAACCCAAAGTTGACATATTTGAAGCAAAAAGATACTACTACTGCATGATATCAGGATTGATAACTTGAAATAACACTGGGAGATGATGATAGTTTCAGATGACCCAGAATGAAAGTTTGTTTGGACATTTGAAATTATTAATATAATATATATTTATATTCTTCCATTTTGGTCAAAACATTGAGTGATAATATGTAAATAAGAAAAACACATTGGACTGTAATTGAATGTTACTTTTACTCCATGATTATCTTGTTAGCAATCAGTGCTTTGAAAAAGCAATTACCCAGAAACAAATTTTAAGAATCTAAAGTAAATCAGGGTCCTCACTAAGGTGAGTCCATGAGTCCTGGACTCATGAAAGTCTGTCTGGACTCACCATTTTTAAAACTGGTGAGTCCAAAGATGCATCAAGATTGTGAAATTTTGTATAAACTGAACACACATATCATTTTATAGCAAAAGTTTAAAAGTAATCTGAATTTAATGTAATTTCATTGCTCTATTAGGTCATGGAGACTAAAATGATATATTATATTGCAATAAATATCTTCTTCTTACTGGTGGACTCACCATGGCCAAAAATGACGAGTCCCTGCCAGGATTCGCCTTCAAAAATTCTTAGTGAGAACCCTGAGTAAATATAACTTTTTTGATAATTTTTCACTATACTTGAATTTAATTTAGTATACGAAAATATGTTTTCTCTTTTTTTTTTCACTTCCAATGCTTCATAATATGTCAAATACATTTTAGATTTGAATTTAAAATATTTGCTATAAACATAATTTTGAAAATGAGTAAAGGAATGACTATTGTACAGATTCAAAGTTCAAAGCAGATGTATACTCTAACATTGCTTTTTTTTTAATCTTAATGACTATAAAAATATCAAATGTTTCATTTCAGAATTACATATAAAGAATCCTTTGAATGATACACACCATATACAGAATACCGAAAAACCATAGAACCATCCAAAGAACAAATGAAACAAACGGAAGATACAACCAGACCCTACTGCAAGCTTTGACACCAAAAGGAATTACTGCAGTAACTATGTTACATGTTAGTAAAGACGCAGCGCTCAAAGCACAATGTATTTCTGAAATGATAATTTGATATTTGCTTAGTCTACAAAAAAAAACTTTCAAGATAAAAGATAAATATTCTGCTGCAAAACTTTGAATGCACTTAAGGTGGTACCCAACACCTTGACTAATATTAATTTGGCTCGTTTAAATTTTCATAAAATTTTGACAAAATGTTTACTTTGACCCTTTGACAAAAATATAAAAATTTCAAAAAATTTGAACCAACCACTTTATCAGAAAAATTTCATTGGTTATATAGCAGTTTGACAAACACTAATTTTGATCATTGAGAAGCTTAATATTTCCTTAACAACGTAATTAAAACGTTTAGCTGATTTTTACAGAGTAATCTCCCTGTAGTGTTAGGTACCACCTTAACCATGAATTTAAATTATTGTCAAGTACTATGTAATTTAATAATCTGACAATCACGATGTATTGAAAATAGAAAATTCTGAAGAAAATTGTTTCATTAAAAATTCCGAAATTTTAATTTTAATGATACTTTTTTTTACTATAGTACAACAAACAAAAATGCATATCCTGAAAACCCCATTTTCACCTTGAAAAAGCACTCATAGAGCTAACAAGACTATGTTCAAAACTGTTTTAAAAATATCTGTTGATCATGATGGGATCAAATGAGAGTCGGTTGTGGAGTAAATATAGAGAAATGTATTACAACCTGATAAACCACATCCAAAGTCACTGCAACTTTCACCATCTCTGCATAAATCACTTTTGATAATAAATTAACAAATTAAATAAGTGGGCATTCCGCCCTGGGTTAATCTTCAACCTCCATTTTTGCTTCCAAGTTTTTTGCATATTAACACATACCTAATTTAACTATAAAATATACAAATCTTTTAAATGCGTTCAAAAAGAAAATTTAGTCCAATTGTAAATTTGTAAG